ATTGGCGGTCCCAGCGATTTGGCAACATCGTTTTTTTTCCATTTAAACCAATGGAAATGTATCGATTATTGGAGGGGCCAGGTGCTCCGACAAGAATCGATTACTGAACACAGGTTTTAGTGGAAAAAAGCCGATGTTGCCAAATTGCTGGATCCGCCTCTGGTTGAGAACATTACTTTTCCTCCATTTAAACGTATGTGAAACGATCGATTCTACGTGAGGCAGCTTGCTCACCGAGACTCGATATATTAAACGGCTTTAAATGGAGTATTAACAGTGTTGCCAACCTGCGGAAATCGCCACTGCACAACAGTATGGTACATACCTGCCAACCATACGTCTCGCGAGTGTAATACCTATCTCCGGCTTAAGTGTTGGCTGGTCCTCGGGACGATCCATCAGTTTAAAGGGGACGTCCTTCAGGGTTGTGGTGCTGAGTATCTGGGGGATGACGGTGCACCAATAGAGGCTGGTTGGTTTGATGTTGAAATACGTGTGAGGGGTGAGGGCGTAAAAGGCGTGCCATGGGCCCGTGTTCTGTCCGTAGCGCGGCGTCAGTGTGAACATGTAGCCTCTACCCGGTATGAGTGTAGGCACCCCCACGTTAGAGCCCAACCGCGCCCAGGACCGTGGGATCTCGCATCTATCGTTGTTGCTACTCAACGTCTTCAAACCCTGATCTATCTCCGGATCCCCCGAGCTGAGAGTCACCATACTTGAAGCCACGATAATTATGGCTACTGGAAAATGAAAATTTGGAGGAAAGTATCGATACCCAGCTTCGGTGGCGTATTCAAAGTCATTCTTTAAACAGCTCATTTCCTTTGGACGCCCAATTTGGACAGATTGGAAAATTGGACGTATTTCTATTAAACAGATTTATGTGCAGGTGAGAAATATGGGGTGTGCTCGTCAGTTCTCTGGCCGTAAGAGTGAATGAGAAAAATAAAGCGCCAGTGACGTCAACGGAGATGGATGCCGTCGTCGCGGTAGTAGTCGCGGTCGTAGTGGTCAGTAACTCATGAGCCCTGTCCACAACGCTCTCGTGCCATGCCCGCGGCTCATATCGACGGTGAAACTACCAAACCACGTATCTCGATTTGCGACGTCGCAGACTTCCTGTCATACTTTATTTTTTAAATGAAAAACTACTTAACGTCCAGTCTTGAAAATTTCTGCGATTTTTCCTCTTCGTGCGGAAAAAATTCTGTGAAAATTTCAAGGAATGATATTGATTTGGTCTACTTCAAAAAAATAAAATGTGAGCGTAGATTTTCAAACACCGCAAACGAGATACGTGGTTTGGTAGTTTCACCGTCGATATATCCCGCATTCAGTTGGAAATTCTATTTGCTGAATTTAAAATCCCGCCTTACCAATTCTTCAAAAGGAATTACGCCCACTTTTACATTGTTTCTTATGCAGCTTTCTAGAGCACACCCCATATTTCTCACCCAGTTCTGTTTGATAGAAATATATGTACGTCCAATGACTTCTCTCCTATCTTTGGCTGTGTTGCTCACGTAGCCCTAGAAGCATCACTACAAAATGGACAAACGGAACCGCACGGAGAAAAATCTATGGCTTTATAAACCTATTAGTGGTTCATATGAAACACCTCTAATAGTCGTAAATGAACTAATGATTCTCAGTCTGTGAACAATACAAAGGTATCTCGTACCATGCTAAGGTCCGAGGTGCCATCACTATAAGGTATATGTGCTATTGTTAAATGTTGCCTTTACTACTATTAGTGGTGCTCCATATGAACCACTAACTGGTTTATAAGCCGTAGCTTTCTCAGTGCGACACAATATCAACGGTGAAACTACTAGGCTATTAAGTATCTCGTTTGCGGTGTTCGAAAATATCCACTCCCATTTTATTATTTCAATTGAGAAAAAAAGTAATATTATTCCTTGAAGTTTTCACAGAGTTTTTTTCGCACAGAGAGGGAATATTATTGGAGTTTTCAAGAATTGGCGTCAAGTAAGTTTCAACTTTAGAAATGAAGTATGACAGGAAGTCTGCAACATTGCAAACTGAGATACGTGACCTAATAGTTATGGGGAAAATACGCGCGTTGTTGACGGCGCAGAGATACAACTATTCGTACTCGATAGCCGTCCGCGTCGCATTTGCAAAATTGAAGGCGAGATGGTGCGGGGCACGAACTTTCAATGCTTTTTTCTATGCTGCCAATGAGGTTTCATTCAGATTCGGAGGAAAAGTTTGGAAATGAGGCCCGAAGACGTCTCTCCTACCTTCGGCTCTATTTTCAGTCGTTTTTTTATTTTTTCAATTTGATGTCTGATTCCTTTTTTACGCGGTAATGGTGGACCTTTATCGAAAGCTAGTGTTCACCGGCCCCATAAAATCTGTGGGGCACGTGTTTTTACGAAGCCTTGGGAAAATTTTACCCAATTTTGACATCTGAGGGTTACCACTGATGACAGAAATCTTATGTATCACCGGTCATCACTAAATTTTGTGGGGATGATATTTTTCAGATAACATTCGGTAAATTTCAATTTTTATTTTCTGCAGTCATGGTAATCATGAGCAACTTTAAGATTCCAAAACTGTTAGAAATAAAAATTTATTGAATGCACTCCACAAAGCTTGTTATCTATGCTTAGTGGATACAATTTGGTTGGAATTGTATAGTATCCTCCTCTATTTCCGCCATGTGGCTCAAATTAAAAACTTATAAATGTCAGACATTTTTTACACTCGAAGTTAATGGTGTTAAATCATAACTTTAAAGGAACGAAAGGGAAAATGATTGTTATCAAATTATATTTAAAGTTTCTTCCTTTCCTTCATTTTTAACGTACAATAACATCAATACTTACTCAATATTTTCATGCCGCACTTCCTGTATGCTATCAACCCGGAAGCTGTACGAGAACTTTCGCCGTGCTGCTAGGGTTCACTGTGTGCACAAATTCGGTGTTTCAAAACTAATGGAATTCAAAAGTGCCAGTAGTAAGGGACTCACGCAAAAGTGGGGAAAAAACCGGATGGAAAAATTCGAACCCACGTTTGCCTACGTATTCGCCTCTGGGTTTGAGTTATCACTTCTTTCTCTACCTCTATCCGTGCATTAACGCATTTCAACCTTGAAGTCACAAGTCATGTGTGATTAAAGGAAAATTTGAGTGTGCATGTTTCCATTTGTGGAGGAATATAGCCGTGCTAAGGACCAAGGGCGTATGAACATTTCAGAAGTGCCAAATCTCCTACAATGAAATGTCTCTCTTAAGGGAAAATCATAAATATTTTCTCCTGAAATTATCAGATAATTTAGATCTGATTGCAAATAAAGTCGGTAAAAATTACAGGGAAAATATTCACAGATTTCCCTGAAAATTGTAATTTTAACAGAGGACATTTGGCAACGTCTGATGGCTTATACGGCGTTCCTCCTGCTGCATGACAGCATAGAAGAACAGCAAACCCCAGCGATTTTGACGCATCAACTGTGATTTCATGAATTCGTAAGAAAAACCGAATTTCTTCGAAAACTAGAAATACTCTTTTGACGTAATTCTTTTCAGCCGGCTTCGGGACTCAGTTTTACAACAGTTTACACCTCTGCGCAGATGTCATAAATGCTATACATGCACACAAAGGGTAGAAAGTTGAGCTCGTTTGAAACAGGGCGTAGCTCCTTTAATTTCAATCCAGAGGTGCAGAGGTGCCTCTTTTCTACTCTAAAAAAATTATTAAGCCTGTGGTTACTATTATTGAGGTGATAAAAGTTAAAGTTAGGATTTTGTTTTATGGTTTAACTAAAATTATCTCTATAATAATTTCTTTTGAATAGAATCTTGATTAAAAGGGAAGAGCACATAAAATTATTCTTGCTACATTAAAAGAAATGTTTGTTACTAAGAGGTTCATTCTGGTTGAAGACATTTTTCGTAGATCTTGAGTATTACTAATAGAAATAAAAGTACTTCTGCATAGAAAAATGAGGGCTTTGAAAGTTGCATGTATAATAATATGAAAAAAGCTACCGAATATAAATTTGCTGAATAGAGATGAATATAATTCTAATTTATGAGGAATAAAATATCAAAACTATCAACAGACAACGCACCACTATCGGTAAAATTCCGGCGAATACGTACTAAAAGCTGTATTAAAACATTGTTATATGCAAAAGCAGGGCACCGCTTACTTTGGATACAAAGTACCAAGTGTTCGTGTGATTCAATTTCAAAACTGAACCGAAATATGAAAATGGTCATTATCAGAAGTAAAATACGTTTAATTGCGTCAAAACTTTCGCTCAAAAATGTTACATTGATGTTAATTTTTTTTGAAGGGCTTTTATGACCACTCTGATGCCATGCTACGGATAATTGCAGTATGAGCTTTGTCAAACTTCTTGAAAATTTTTTAAATTTTTGCCCCCAAAAATTTACCGACACTCAAGTTCAAAATTCTCAAAATAAAATCATCTGAAAATGTGTAGAAAAAATCATCACAGGTTCCCGAGAGCTTGTGTTCAGTTCACGCGACTTCAGTTTTTTTGACTAATTTAAAATTTCTGAATGTACGACGACGGAGGACTACACTGCTTTGCTAAGGAAGAACGCCGTAAAACCCTTCAGGTGTTAGCAACTTTCCGTAGATAAAATTCGAATTTCCAGGAAAATCTTCCAGTATTTTTCCTCTATTTGTTTGGAAAATTTTATTCGTAATCAGATCTCAATTATCTGAAAATTTCAAGAGAAAATATTCTGACTCTCCTTAAAAATGAACATTTTGTAGGAAGAAATTTGGTGACTCTCGAATTTTCATACAGCGTTTGTCCTTAGCACGGCAGTGCGGGATGAGAGACTTAACAACATTGTTCTCGCTCTGAAAGGTATAGCCACATACTACGTTTTTAGATTTTTACAGTTTTTTACTGTTTTATCCAACTGAGTATAGCGGAGTTTTCAGCCGAAACGTTTTGGTAGTGTTTACATGAAAATTAGCATTGTTACCCGCTGTGTAATTTGTTTAATTATTGGATTAGAGACTTACTCTCCAAGGGAAAGAAAGCCGCGCAAGGCTCAACCTTGGCACTTGCCATGAAAACCTACGACCAGATAATTTACTCGTTTGCCCTGTTGAATCCGTCAACTTTTTCGGTGAGCCTCTAGGGCTTTTCGGTTTTAGGCTCCTAGAGGGGGTCGTCGGAACAGGGGGTCCTAGCTGGATGGGGTTAAAGGACCCGTCCATTAATGTGAATTCTGGCGCATTGACGTCATCGGCGTTGGTGACGATGCGATGCAACGGGCAGTCCTGACTCATCATGCTGTTGTAAGTGGGATCCCAAAGAAATCCGTACGTCTGTCCGTAGAGCAGGTAGTCTGTGTAGTGCCGGCAGTTGCAACGAGACGAACGGTACAACAGCACCCTGTAAATCCAAAGTGTAACTTTTATTAGCGTCGGGATACACTAAACTGTACTGCATTTTGTAATTTGGAACTATAATTTCTGGCTCCTCTGGAAAAACACTTACCTACGTGCATAGGAGGGGAACTAATGGCTTATACGTTGTTTTTAAACCGGGCTGCGGAATTGATAGTTCCAAATTGCAAAATGTAGTCCAAATATGAGTCGTAAAGGCTGAAAAAAAGACGGGGAGCCTTCTTGGATTCAAGTAAATGTCAAGGTTTCTGAGGATAGTCAAGTGCCGGGAACGATGTTTACCTGCAACGTTCCCGGCGCCTAGGTGGATCCAAAAAGGGGGGCGCACGGGGTGTGCCAACCCCCCCCCCCCGTTCACCCGAAACAAAGGAGGAAGAAAAATGGAAAAAAAGGGAAGGAACGGAGAAGAGGAGAAGAAAGGGTGTTCGTATTTATTGATTTTTTATGACAAAATTGACTTAAGCTGCATTTAAAATTTCGACAATTTTCTAGTGGAAGCCCCCCGGGCCCCTCTTCTGCTTCCCGCCCCCGTTCGAAGTGTCTGGATGCGCGCCCGTGTGCCATTGGCGTTGGCTTTTCAAATTACCGTAAAATACTATCGTAGAAATGTGCTTCATGTGTGAGGGTGTGCGTCTGTGTGCTCATTCTCTTCTACATCGGAGTTTCTTGGGCAGATAGATTCTAAACGGAAACCTACTGGCACGTTTCCGGATGAATCCCAAATCCCAACCGGCTATATAGACTTCCCGCTTTAATCATTTCGAGCAAAGTGGAATCTTCTCAGGGATGAGCAAAAAAGTGCACGGAAAAATACGCACGAATTAAATATTAAACTTACTGATCAAATCCATTTTTAATGAATTTTTATTTGAATTTTTATTTCCTTGAAAGATTTTAATAGATTTTTAAGGAATTTCATACAATTTTTGAGGGATCGAGTTTGCAACCCACAGCAAATAACCGAAAATTCAAGAAGGAACTTTGAAGTTAGACTCCTGCGTTTTATTTCTTTGGAATTGAGTCCTTATACTACTTCTAGATTTCTCACGGCTTTTTGCATGTATTATGAAAGTTTCAAATTTTTTTTTTCTTTAAATATCATGAAATTTTGCATCTCTGATTCTCTGTTGATGACCCCTATACGCACGAGGGTCTGGGATAGCCTGGCTTCTAGCGTGGCGGAGACTGCATGGTGTACTCATCTCGCGGCGAGACACGTATTTGGAACTCGTTACAGTCGTGGTTATAAAAAAATATTCTTGGAAAAAGGCATCGAAAGCTCTATGGAAACATTTCGTCCCGTCGCTTACACCTTGACATGGTTGCCTTGTGTAAGGCGGTAGAGGGGAAAAATTGGTTTTCCTGGATTGGATTATAATGGAACAAATGGGTTCTTTCGGATTGCAAAAATTATATAGGAACTAACAAAAGAAATAATTAAAATAGTTTCTATTTTTGTTTTTGCAAAGTTTTTTTCGAAGAAACAGTCAGAAAAGTCTCATAAGGCTAAGCTGTCATTCTTAGCAAAAAGAGCGTATATCCGATTGAATTCCTGCGCGCATGTGCCTTTTTGCAAAGAACGGCAGCATGTGTTTCCCCTACTGTACGAGGGAAAAACGCCGTACGAAAATTCCGAAGTTGCTTGCAGTTTCTTATGCCAAAATATTTATTCTCTAGACAATATATGAATACGTGTTTTCGAAATTTTTAAACAAATTCAATTAAATTGCACTTAAACATTTTTGAAAATAAATTATCAATAAATTTCCGTTCTATCGGTTGAAATTTTGCAACGTTTGGATCCTTATACGGCATTTTTTTCTCAGCACGGTAATACCATGGAATGATCTTCATTTCATTTATTCAGAGCTCGATTGAGAAATAATAAACATTCCCTATAACAAATCGTAGTAGAGAGTCGAGCGATTTTTCAAAATTCTCAAATTCTTTAACCTCATTATTTTTAATCATCGAACATTTTTGCAACAAGCTACTGCTCATTTCTCCTATCGAGCAAATTTCGACTATCGCTCGGCTAAAACTGAATTATAAGAATTTCTCGTGTATTACATTATAATCCACCTCAAAATTAGTTATTATCATGCAATATTTGTCAGCTTCGCAAATTTTACTGTCATAACCTTTAATATTTTTTGCCGCATATCATGCAGATCTGAAAAAATGCGTGTTTTAAGCCATCTCTTTTTAAACGTTTGTCCTCTTTAAAGGATAAAAGTTTACTCTAGAGTATCAATTGTGAAGGTCATTTTCAAAAAGACTTAAGCATTAGAGATGAGATTTTGATAACAACCGTAAAAACTGTTTTAATTGACTGTCTCACCTCAAACAAATTATATCATAATTCGAGGGCAATTAGGAATCTGATCGTGGTTATTTTCACAAACTGTCGTATGATTTGAATCGAAGAAGAAAAAAAAGAATTGGCGCTTGAGTCCTTTATAGTAAGAACGGACAAATTTCAACACTTCATTCCCAGTTGAAGTCAATTGTATAGATTTTCAAGCCATAATGTACTCTGAAATTGTATTTACACTTTTATATTGCAAATTATGATGACAACATAATCGGATGATTTTAGTAGCAACTATAATGACAATTCCTTTACTGCAAATCCAATTATTATTTTTCAAAAATGCCACGATCACATGGATACTTTTTTCAGGAGTTTCTTTTTTCTCATACTTCCACTTTCAATTTTTTGTTTATTATTTTCGATCACAGCTGGTGTGACATAAAGTCCGTTATGTCACGCTAGCGCTTGACCAGAGACAACGCTTGACTCGGAATAATTTTTTTTTTTTTTTTTTTTTTTTTTTTTTTTTTTTTTTTTTTTTTTTTTTTTTTAATAATTTGCATTTGATAGAATCGTTGCGATCAACCTGATTTTTTCGTTTTGTTTTTGCGAACATGCTCTTTTCATACTTTAAATCTTGCTTCCTTCGTCCGGAAAACGACGATTTGAACAAAACCCCCGAGTTACCGAAGAAAGAGGCCCAAAAAAGCATTTTTCGAAGACTCTTTCACCGAGAGGTTAAATGGATTACATTTTGCAATAAGGAACCACTATCTCTGGCTCTTCTGTGAAAGCACCTTTCTGCATTGGGAAACCCATGGCATATATGTTGTCCCTAAAATCAGCCGGATATAGTGGTTCCTTATTGCAAAATGCAATCCAAATAAAGTCACGAGGTGATGGAACCAAAACTCTGACGAGACGAAACATGTAAGTTTACCTGCCAACCATCCGTCTCGCTAGTATAATAGCGGACTCTGGTTTGAGTGTCGAGCGGCCCACCTCGGGATCTATCTTTTTGAAAGGGACTCCCTTCAAGGTATCGGTGCTGAGTATCTGGGGGGTGACGGTGCACCAATAGAGGCTGGTTGGTTTGATGTTGAAATAGGTGTCAGAGGTTAGGGCGAAGAAAGCGTGCCAAGGTCCAGTGTTCTGCCCGTAGCGCGGCGCTAGTGAGAACATGTAAGCTGTGCCCGCCACCAGTTTGGGCACCCCTAGGTTCGAACCCAGACGAAACCATGACCGCGGAATTTCGCATTTTTCGCTGTTGCTTAAGGTCCGAAAGCTATGTTTCGATTCCAGGTTTGCGCCAGGGAGCATTGAATTCCAAACCAGGATAACTTTGAAAACTAGAAAAGAGTTGATGCGTTTAGAAATACACTGTTGAAAATCAAAGAGTGAAATTCAGTGCCGAAATCTCTTAAGCGCCTAAAATTTCCGATTGATATGAATACAAAACTAGCACCAAAAAAGCGCATGCTACTCCGCAAAAAGAGTTGATTCCGCTTTGCAATAGTGTAAGTCACTCCGTGAGAATAGATTCCATTCCGCATTCATATTACTCGGGGGTTTTTGGGCGTTGTATAGACTCCGACACAGAATTTCAATGCAACATCTTTAACAGTGTATTACGCCTGCGGGCACGTAAAGTACGCTACCAGGTATGGGATCAAAATAATACTGTGACCGGATCTGTGAAAAAGGAATCTTATCTTCCGGGGGAATAAAAAAAAAAAAAAAAAAAAAAAAAAAAAAAAAAAAAAAAAAAAAAAATCGAATGATTACAGCATAATTTAGGGTTAAATTTGCTCAAACTTTCAAAATTAAAGGCACCTTTACGCACGTCAATGACGGCGCAGAAGTGCAAATATTCGTGTATGATGAATGTTCTATTCTATCTGCAAAATTGAAGGCGCAATGGCGTAAGGCGTGCATTCGCAATGGTCCGTTATACATATCCTTTCAATTATAGGTCTGTGTCGCTATTAAATTCAGGAGAAAATTTTTAAAAAAAGGCCTGATGTCGACTCCTATCTTCGGCTGTCTTGTTCACGTGGTATTTGAAGCATCGCAGCACAAAAAAGATAAACGGAACAAACACAACAAGGAAAAAGAGCGAGGGAGAGGACGGGCGTTGATGACGGCGTAGAGATACAACTATTCGTGCTTGATGAATGCCCATGTTGCGTCTGCAAAATTGAAGGCGCGATGACGCGGCGCGGGACGTGAACTCGCAATTCCCCGCTCTATGCTGCAAATTAATTGGACTGCATTTTGCAATTTGGACCTATAAATTCCGGCCCGGTTTAAAAACAACGTATGTGCCATTAGTTTCTCTATGCACATAAGTGTTTTTTCAGGTGAGCCAGAATGGGCCTGTTGCAAACTTTTGCTAGAGCAAAAATAAGAGTTGTTTCTCATAGATAATGCCTCAAAAATCACGATGAGCGCATCGGCAAAGTCTGAAATGCACTCATAACTTCACAGTCTGCGTAAGAAATTTGCGGTTTTTTGAGCTTCCCGCTTCAAAAGCGATACTACGGCACAGGTGAACATTTTGTAAGAGGAGTCGTTCCATCGTCGGCAATACTCATCATGGCCGACGCCAA